GAGACGCTCCCGCCCCCCGCCCCAGCCGCGTCCTCAGAACGCCCACCCGTCGCACTCCCCGGGGCAATTCGGGCTCCCTTTGGCTCCCAGAAGATGCACAGCCAACTGCGTCAGGTAGAAACGCGCTGGTGTTTAACCTTGGCAGTGTCACGAGGTGACAGCCCGCTCACACCAGCCCCGGAGCAGCTACAGGCCGTGGCATAGGGTTTGTTAATGGTGTCCTCAGATTTATTTCAGCTGGTAATGGACTAATTGGAGTCCATTATTCTAAAAATACTCCTACTGCGTCTTATTTGATGGTAATTAGTTCTTCAGCCTTTTTTTTAAAAAAAAACAAAACAAACAAACCTCACAGCACATTTTTTCTTTCAGTTGCATAACAGACGAAGATGTTTGCATTTATTTCTTCCCTCTGAATCGTTCAGTTTGCATGAAATAACATATAATTTAATAAAACCACTTCTAAGCGTGTTTCATAATGCATTAGGGAGGTCTTTCTTCAACTGGTTTTGCATTCTAATTCAAGATAAATGTTAGGAAAAAATCTGATGAGATTTCACTAGTAAATTTAAGTTGGATTTTCATTTTAATCCATGTGACAAGTACTTTTAGAGGGGAGAAAAATACAGAGCACTAGTTTTGGTGGGATAATGAATGCTCAGCAGAAAGGCAGGAAGCAGAGGGTGCTGGAGCATCCCATAGGAATATGACCCATGTCAGGGGGTGTGAGAGGGTCAGGCAAGAACCTCTCACTTAACCTGGACATTTCCTTTCCACACCTGGTCTAGGTTTGTGAGTTTAATACAGAGCCAGTCACAATACATCAGTTGCTCAAATGATGACATTTAGTTCCACCAAATCCCTGCAATCATAGTGGACAAATAGGCTGCTTTGAAAGCCACAAATTAGGTTTTAATGCATTCAAAGTATGACAGCATTGGCTGAACGTTTGTCATTAAGATATTTGAGGGCAGAAAATACACTGTTTACTTGTGAACATTCCATATATATTTTAATATACCTTTATTGCATTGGTGTTGCTATATACTGATATATGCAGCACAGATTTTGAAAACAGGACAGCTAAAAAGCCCCAGAAACAAGTCTAACACCTTTCCTACCCAACAGGCACCTTCACAGCAAGATAAGACTGAGAGAATATATACATCACAAAACTACCAGATTAAAAGCATGAACAGAGTAGATGGATATTAATTTCAGAGTGAAACTGAAGTCACAGAGCAGATATGGTTGTTCAGAGTGGCATAAGCTTTCTGGCAACCTGTTCCGAAAGAATACTTTCCAAAGAGGAGCAAAAAGCTCTTTCATGCTGATTTAGTACTTGTCTTTCAGCAGCAGGTTTTGCTACACACATTCGTTTCAGGGAGTTAAGCAGGCTAGACTTGTACTGCAAATGGCCAGGAAGGCAAAGCCAGACAGCGAACCTTCAGCTTGTTTCGGAATCAAGACCCCAGGGGTGAATCTCAGTTTTTCAAGCTAGTATTTACTGCATCAGAAAAACAAACAAACAAAATACTTTTATCTTAGTATTTGCAGCACTCTTGGCTGAAAATTGCATCTAAGTTCTTACATCTGTCTACTGGACGTTTTGTGCAACACTTGAATAAAACTGGGAGCACCACCAGCTGAAACTGATCCTTTATGCAGAGCTTTTCAGATGCCTTCCAGCACAGAGAAGTGTTATTTCATTCTTCTACCAGCTCTTAACCTGTTGAACAACCTACAGAGGGATTCAAATATTTGGTTGTAACTTTATACATAACAGACTAAGTCCAAGAAACAGAGGGTAAATATTTTTATTAAACAGGTTACATAATTTATCTAGATTAGCATTGTTACGTATTTGTACTTACACAAATTCAGGTTTTGGTTATTACAGAGTTTCTTTTGACTGCCAAACTTATTCACCCCAACTAAGAAACCCATGAAGACACTGCCAGCCCTATAAAACAAAACAAATATCAGAGTATCCAGGCACCACATTAAAATTCTACATCTTAAAGCATAGCTTTGCTTGAAACACTTGAAAGAATTTTTTAAAAATTCACTATCAGGGAAGAAATACATTTCACATCAACATTTCCAAATGCACACATCTGACATGGCTAAAGGTTCCTTGTATTAAAAATAATAATAATAATAAAAAATAATGTGGTTTTCCATTCTTCTTTTTCAGACTAGGTTTTGTTTGTTGAATAATTTCTGCCTTTTTTGTTTACACAGCTGAGTACACAGCCTCTAAACAGCTATATATTTTAATGATTTCTTTTATTGTTCCCATAACAATTTTGTAGACCATGACAGCAAAGCCTGTGGTTTATGATACCACCAAACTCCCAAGGAAAATGTCAAGCTGCTCCCTCAGCCACCCAGTTTAAAAATCTATTAACAGAAACCTTCTTCCTGAATTATCTAAAAACTTGAACAACTTGTTACTACAAAATCTAAAACAACTTCAAAACACTGCCAAATTTAAGAGCTGTTCAGGCATTTATCATCAAGGTGAAGTATTTCCACTGCTATTCTCAGAGTGAGGAGCATCTCACAGTCTGCAAAAGGTCCTGAATGCATCAGCCCGAAATCAGGTGCTCTGACTTAAGACAATTTTCAGCAGG